GCCTTCGACATGGGGAGCAATCGACAGTGGAGCCGTCGACAGGGGTGCAGTCGGCAGGGGAGCCGACGACAGGGGAGCCTTCCACAGGGGAGCAACTCGGCAACGGCTCGCTCGTCGTTGTGGAAGTCGTCGGCGAAGCTGGAGACGATGACGTGGAGCCGTCGACGGGGGAGCCGTCCAGTGACAGCTCATCAAGCGACGTGGTGGATGTTCCGTCGATAAGATGGCAACGCAACATTCCACTCACTCAAACTTTGGAGTACCTCCAGAGCATCTTGCCAACGTGTGTCCGGTGTTCGCCAACACGCTCCTCGACGACGTGCATGCCGACGTTGCACTGTCCGAGCTAGATCCCGACATGCATGCAAACCCTGAGCTGCGTTGGGACATCTCGACGATGACCGTCAAGGAAGCGTTGGCGAGTTGGAAGGACAAGGCGGTGAAAGCAGCAATGGACAAGGAGATATGAATTCTTCTCGCCAATGGCACGTGGGAGATCGTGCCTCGACCGCGTGACGTCAATGTCATAAAGAACCGCTGGGTGCTCATGACAAGAACAACGCCAACGACACGATCGCCCGCGAAAAGGCACGCCTTGTGGTGAGAGGCTTCACGCAGATCTACTGCGCAGAGTACGACGAGACGTATGCACCTGTCGGTGGCTATGTCAGGCTGCGGATCTTCCTCTCCATCGTGGGCGTCCTCAACATGCACCTCATGCAGCTCGACATGAACCATGCAGAGCAAGTTGGACCATGTGCTCTTCATGGACCAACTGTCTTACTACAACGACGGCACAAATCACGAGTGCAAGCTCTTAAGGAGCTTGTACGGCCTCAAGCAGAGCCCGCTGATGTGGTACACCCTCGTTCTCACCCTTCTCACCATCGCGCGCACTGGCTACAGTGTTTGGACATAGCGAGCTGGTGCGATAACTCGGTTGTGGGCAAAGTCGCACGAGGTGACGAAACAAGCCTTGGGGAGTAAAAACCGTTAACGCTGAATAGCCGTCCCAACCGTTTTGAAAACGACAGTACAATTTTTTAAAGTTTGAAACCCTGACCCAAGGCAGTCTCTATAATTTTTTAAAGTTTGAAACCCTGCCTTGGGTCAAATTGTCACTATAACGCAGGTGATAGGATCTTCTTTGGTCCGTTGCGGTTACACTAGGCGTCCCGGTCAGTCAAACATATGCCAGTCTATCGAGAATGAGGGTGTACTCGGTGCTCGAAGCGTGTTGATTGGTGTTGGGTGGAGCAAGAACTACTTGGGGCTGGAGATTGTGCGCAACCGACCTGCACGGAAGCTGTCGCTTCACCAGACGTCCTACGTCCACAATCTGTGTAGGCGCTTCATCGATGAAGAGCAGTCTAGCCGACGCCCAAAGACGCCGGTTTCCGTCGACGTCTATGCCGACTTGACATTCCACGACGGGGACTCCCAGATGTGCGACGAAGAGGAGTACCGCCTGAAATTCGGCTCGTTGTAGTTCGTCGCCACCACAACTCGGCTGGACATCGCCTTCGCGTGGAGCAAGCTGGGGTCTGGCCTAACGGGTGCGGAGCAATCAAGTTGACTGCTGACTTGCCTACTTGGCCGACACACACGTTGTTGCTCTCGAGTTCGGCGGCGGGCCGAATACTCTGCGTTTGGTCGACAACGTGGACGCCGACGACGCTGGCAGCAAGCAGTGTTAGAGGTCCACTGGAGATCCCCGATTGATCCTAGGGAAGGGTTACAGGCACGTCGGCCTGGGGGGTTATGGGCGCACTCATCCGCTACACAAACAAGCCATTTTATCCCAGTGGTCTAGTGGCTGGGATTCTGACATGGTATCAGAGGGAAGGTCTCGGGTTCGAATCCCAGTGTGTGCACCTCGGGCATCTCAGTGCGGGGGGGTGTCAGAGGTCCACTGGAGATCCTCGATTGATCCTAGGGAAGGGTTACAAGCACGTCGGCCTGGGGGGTTATGGGCGCACTCACCCGCTACACAAACAAGCCCTTTTATCCCAGTGGTCTAGTGGCTGGGATTCTGACACTTCGGATGGCTGGGAATCCCAGTGTGTGCACTTCGGGCATCCCAGTGCGAGGGGGGTGTCAGTAGATCTGCACTGTGTATGTCCGATTGATCCTAGGAGGGGTTACAGGCGTGTTCGCATGGGGGGTTATGGGCGCACTGACCCGCTACTTAACAAGCCCTTTTATCCCAATGGTCTGTGTGGTTGGGATTCTGACATGGAATCAGAGCGAAGGTCTCGAGTTCGAATCCCGGTGTGTTCACTTCGGGCATCCCAGTGCGGGGGGGTGTCAGAGGTCCACTGGTGATCCCCGATTGATCCTAGGGAAGGGTTACAGGCACGTTGGCCTGGGGGGTTATGGGCGCACTTACCCGCTACACAAACAAGCCCTTTTATCCCAATGGTATAGTGGTTGGGATTCTGACAAGCAGACGCCCAGTAGCACGAACGGCTAGTGGACGAGCCAGTGGCACAAGTGTGTGACGTTGTCCTCCACCGAGTCGTCGCCGCCTTCGCTTCCTCCTCGCCGAGTTCCAGCTCCTCGAAACTGGGACGCCAACTGTCCCTAACTTGGACAACCAGTTGGCCATCGCGGTCGCCGAAGGCTTGGGCCTGAAGGGCAACCTCAAGCACATGGAGCGACACTACGTCTGGCTGCAGCAGATCATTAAGCGCGAGAATATTGCGCTACGGTACATTCCGACGACCGAGCAGCCGACGGATTTCCTCACGAAGGCACAGCACTTTCGGCACTGCACTTTCCAGCATTCAACCGGTGCTCTGTCGTTGTCAGGCAAGTCCACCATGCCGACATCGACGTCGATGACGAAGACGTGCAGAACTAGGCACCATGTCTTTCAACATGGCTGGTGCGGTGAGCGGGGTTTGCATGCCAGCATAGTATCCCCCTTGTTTTTTATTACGTAGGTTCTTTAGCTGGACCTTGAGTGTGTGTGTGTGTCCAAGCTTGAGCTGGACAGGGGAGTGCTAGAAAGAAAAGGCCCCGCCCTCGCTTGGGCGAAGCATGCACCCATGCATCCATGCATACGAAGAAGGCAAGAAAGGGTGGCGCGAGGTGCTGATTCACAGAGGGGTGTTGGATGTTAACCTTCTACCCCTCCCATGCCCTCTCTTTCTCTCTACCCTCCCTCTCCATCCATGCCCCCTTGCACCCACACACATGAAGCAGGCAAGAAGGGGCAGCACGAGGTGCTGATTCAGGGAGAGGGGTTGGACGAGTTGGCTCGTCTGCTTGTAGACGTGCATGCTGTGATGTTGACGTGCTTGGGCGAAGCTGACTTTGCTGTTCGGTGCGCAATGTGTGCAGCATGCTACGTTATGTGGTTGCCGCCGACTTCGAGGAGGAAGTCGACGAGATTGGTTCGTCGACTTCGGCGGGACCTCAGCGAAGCCGACTAGGGCGAAGCAACCACGGTGAAGCTGACGAGATGCTGGCCAGCAAAGTGAAGTCGGCGGATGGTGTCGAGCCTCGGTGGTCGACGAAGATGGTCGTCGACATGGCGCCGACCTACGGGCGTCGACTGACCGTCGATCATCGACGTCGGCTGTGCGGCCTCATTCTGGTCGACCAAACATCACTAGTCGGCGAGATTCTACATGTGCGCGAATTTCGCCCAAGGCGGGTTTGACGAAGGCCGACCTGCGGAATCAGCATCATGTGCTCTACAACATGGCATCTGCGCAATGTGCATCACGTGCACAACGTGCACGCAACCGTCCGTTGAGCAGACCTGCACCTACTTGGTAGGTGACGCACATGAGCACACATGTTCACCTGCGACTGCAGTGCTCGCAAGCCGCCTTGCTGCAGCGTTGTCACGCCGCCTTCCTGCAACGTTGGCAAGCCTCCTTCGTGCTGCGCTGGAAGTCGCTTTGCTAGGTTGCTCGTTGTCTTGCAATGCCTTTTTAGGTGTATCAACTTTCTTGCCATTGTATGCTTGTTGTTCCAACGTTTGTTAGTGAAACTCTTGCCAATCTAACCTACGAGCACAACAAGTAGTGCGAACGTATGCAACGCTGCGATCACCCCGTACAACTCGTAATCTCCCACGTACCGTAGTATTCTACTGTTGTAGAGTGACTCTCCGCATTTCTCTCTACCCTCCCTCTCCAACTATGCACCCTTGCACCCACGCACGTGAAGCGGGCAAGAGGCACGAGGTGCTGATTCAGGGAGCGGTGCTGGATAAGTTGGCTCGTCTGCCTGTAGACGTGCATGGTGTTCCCAAGTCCCACATAGATGTTAGGAAATCATCCATGCGAAACATGTTATATGGAAGGTGGCATCATCCCCAAAATGTTTCTGACCCTAGCCTGACCCACCTTCCGGCCTGACCCAAGCCTGTCCTGTAAATGCCCCCAGAGTTTCTTTGGGGTCAAATTGGGGTTAGTGGTCAGAACCGGGTCAGTTTTGGGTCAGTGAGTTTTTTGACCCAAAACTAACCTGCCCCGCACAGCCCGTGGGGATCTGGAGATGCGGGTTCGATATTGGTCGCTGGCAGTTCTATGCTCCAATTCCTGCCCCAAACCTAACCCGGCGTGAATCTGACCCGAATCTGTCCCAACCCACCATACCCACATGTTCCTTGGGCGCCCGGGTTCAATTCTCGCCAAAAAACAGGGAAACTAAAAACCCGTTATAAGCCGCTCCACGATGGACAATGTCAAGAAGCCCTACCACGCATGATGGTGTACCAAAACATAAACACTACATACTAAACCCAACATCTGGTCTATAACACGGTCCTACACCAGAAGTACATCCGCTCAGGCAGGCCAAGAGGAGCGCATCACGGCTTCCCAAACCACTTCAGCAACCCATTGGAAACAACAGAACTACTATTGCCCAACTGCCCACAGGTTTTGCAACAAAAGTGTAGCCGTGGTTTGCCTCCTGTACCGACCCCACATGGTCCCTGTCAAGGCACGACCACACGGCCAGGGTGATGTCTTCCGCCCCCATCACTCATCAAACAGGAACCGATTCACCAACGAGAAACGGGGCTCTGTGAAACACGGGACAATGTGGGCAAGGGACAGAATGCTCTCCACCTCGACAACGGCATACTCATCCTCTCCCTCCGTTGGCAAGAGCCTCACACATCCCGTCACGGGGCATGGAGTGGGATGCTCATCGAAGTACCGCACCACGGCGCGCCTGTGAAGCGCTGCCTCGTCGTCCATGAAATGGAAGAGCATGAGGCACCGTGCGTACCACTCGCCTTCCCCCCCATCAATCGCCACGTAGCTGAACTTCCCTTCACCCGGCGCTGCCTTCACCATGTGCCCTGGCCCGCGGCCCAGGAGGCGGTCATGGGGGGGTATCGCCAGCGCGGTGTGCACCTGCATTCAACGACAAGAACGGCACCGGGCATCACGTGACGGTCCCCCTCAATCGCAACACCAAGGCACTACTGACCACCGTGTACCCCAGAAACTCCCATGACCGGTATCTTCCCCCTTGCACCCACTCATGGACGAGCCATCACCTGCACGCCTGACGCAGCGATCCCCATACGCTGCATCACCCGTGCGACCCCATCCATCACAACGGTGCCAAGCGCGGCGCAGTATTCCGCCCAGACCGGATCCTGCGCATCCCCCACCGCCATGCGCCGTGAACGACGGGTCAGCACTCGGGTGTTGTGCTTCACCGCCTGTGCACACGCACCGTACGTACGAAATGGAAAGGAGCGTAGATGAGAACCAAACATGACCTCGTGAGTTGACCGACACTACGGGACATAAATATAGACAAAATGGGTTACTGAAACGGCCCGTGATCCATGCATGCATGACCCAAAAAATCTCACCGTGCGCATGGCCGTCTCGTACGTCCTACCCCCCTCTTCCCGACCCAGGCCCCTGATTGCCTCGTTGGGTATAGACAAGTGTGATCATCGGGTTATTCAACTCACCCCGGCATGGGACACTACACCGCTTACGGACGGCACCTCCCAATCGCTTTGGGCGACACGTACCTCTCGACTGATGATGCCATCATGAGAGGGCCTAGTACGAGCCGCAGCATCTCGTGCATGAGCTCCGTCTTCTGCTCGGGTGTCAAGGCTGCGGGTAGCGGGGGGAAGAGTGCTACCATCTCCACGCCACCTTCCAGCCATCGGCTGGCCTCGGGAATGTTGTCCAGCGAGAACATCATCGGGTGAGCCAGCTGCCTCCCATTAAATGTCAGATGGGTCGCATCACTGAACAGAATCACCGGTGCCACTATACCGGCACCCCTTAAAGCCTCCTGTAGGACATGGGTCGGACAGAGACGGAGTTGTGGTTCAGCAACCCACCCTGCGTCTGCTCACCCTCCCCGATGCTGCGACATGAGCCCAGGAGAGCAAGGGTAGCGACATAATGACAGATACAAACTTACCCATGCACTCCGAAACCAATCGCATTCCACAACGGCCCCGTAACGTCTCTCGTCATCCACCTCCACCGTTCGTGGTTCCGTCGTGAACCCGGGGACCCGGGACATCTTCTCCCACATCCTCAGCAGAATTTGCGTGGTGAAGGGCAGCGCAATCATCAGCACACCAACGGGGCAATGTGGCAGAACTGTGGACTGTCTCTAACCTCTATGCCGCAAAACTCACACCAACGAGAGGCCGAAACCGAAACGTCACCTCGCCCAGCCCCTCCTGCAGCTCCAACACGCGTATCTCCCATTCCTCGCCATATGACAGGTACTCTTCCTCGAACCGTTCGAGGTCCCGATATGTCTGCCACAAATCCACCTCTGAGGGGTCCCTGTTCCCAGCTTTAAGTAACTGGATGATGTCGGTTATGGCCGCGCAATTTCAAGCCTAAAGTCCCGACTGACACCCGCCTCCGCCTCGTCCTCCGACTCCCCCGATGCAACAAACGGAGCTGACTCTGCTGATGACGACGCCTCCCCGTCAAAGCCATTGGCGTCCTCCTCGTCGCGATCGCGAGCCGTGCGGGGCTCGAATGGCGCGTCAATGCGCCGACCGGATGCGTGCACGATCGTGATTAACGGCGGCCGATAGAATCGGCCATACGGAATGCCTAAGGCAGCAAGGCGGTCCTGTTCGTACAGGCATTTTTTGTTCCTACGCTGATGTCTACGTATCCCACCGTAGCTTTTCAGTAATTTCTCGCAGAAACAGCATGTCGCGTACGGCATAGTATACGGGTCCCCCCTCGGAACATGACTCACAGGGCTGTCACGTAGACGAAGGCGTGCGTGCAAACGCACTTTAAATCCATGCGGTCCACTAACGTTAAGGTTGCAGTGGCGCCTACGAGCGCTAGCGTAGTGAACAAGGCGTAAACTGCGTTAGGGTTTCACCGCATGCCAGCCCTCTCGATCTCGATATAGGGGTAAGTGGCAAAAGTGTGTGTTTATGTAATGTGATGAGTAACATATAATACGATGACGATTAATGCTTACAAAAAACCAGAGACGCCACTGAGTTTCACGCATATCGCCACCCCATATACGATTCACGCCATGACCACTATCATACTGGAGCCAACACTATGGTCTGTTCTGTCTAAAGTGTCCCCTGGGCGGCTATGTCAAACTTTCAAGGACACCTGTGCATCTTGAAGTGGGCCACCAATGGGGCCCCACCCCTAGTTGGCATAAATAGAACAACACTATTAGCTCAGGATAGACAGAGTTTCTACGGCGCATCAATGTCCGTGCGTGGGCGCTTTGCGCTAGGCACTGGCATCAGTCGCTCAACAACATCGATGAACGTGATGGCAGTGTCGAAGGTCGGCAGCCTGGCCACAGCTGCAAGAGTATGACGCGTGTGGACAATCACCGACAATGCGTAAGTCCTGTGCTCTATACATATGAAGGTTGAGTTTGCCACGCCTTACGAGCAACTCACCTCGAGCCAGTGCATCCAGACGAGCCCGGGCCCTGATCGGTAATCCCATGATGGCGTTCTCGTCCGCATCGTTTGTTCCTGCGGGCAAGAGATAGGGGGTGAGATATCGGACGATACCAAGAACAGAAAATGGGGTAACTGTGCCTCACCTTCCGTGGCTAGGCGGATCGTAGAGGGAATGGGCAGCAGCCGCTCTACCACATCGATGAACGAGATAGCCGTCTCGAAGTTTGGCAGTCTGGCGGCAGCTGCACAAGGTGATGGGTGGGATGCGCGAATTAGCATGGCTTCTTACAAGGAGCACATCGGAGGGTGCCCGACAAATGACACACACATGAAACGGACTCACCCCGCGCGGCACGAGGCACATTTGGCAATACAGCTGCAAGCAGAGGCACGCTAGCCGCCTGGTGTGTACCTCCAGGTCCTGTAATGATGACCAGGGGAGGTCAGGCACTCTGGACAGAGAGCGAAATGCCCTAAACGGCGAGGTGTGACACTCCTTGAATTAGCACTGGAAGGGCTGTGAGTTGAGCTACATGGCCCATACCTGCCATGGCACCGCAATGCGGGTGCCCATCGTGGCCCAGTGACGCTGTCCGCTGCGTTACTCCTGGCTCGGCCTGCCCGTTGTCCTCATTCTTTGGCTAGGTTGCGTTGCGGTCTATTACGTCACCATGGCCCAGACCGGCCATAGATGCCGCCCCCCCGATCTGCTCCGCTTGTTCGACCCGTGTGTCGGATAGCATCTCTCCGCCGACTCCATGCGTGGCCCCGGTCAAAGGATTCTGCTGCTGGCTTCGGCCATGTTTGCGATTTGGACCTGTTGGCACCGGCAATGAGGCAGCGAGAGGTGATGTTGGCTCATAAACAACGCCACGAACGACCTCCTTTTTCTTGCCGATGTCCTCATCGTTAGCGCTCAACGCAACTGCCTTAGGAACTGCATTGTCCGTCATCACCGGCTTAGGTGGCCCCTGGACAAGACGATACTGGCCGTCGACCCTAGTGCCTCCCACTTGTTGCTTTTCGCCCACCTCACGGGGGTTTACGCGCCCCGTTGCAACTCCTGTAAGGCGGTTCGTGGGTCGGCTCGGTTGAGGATCGGTCTCGTGTGGCGCGAATCGTCCGCCGCGGAACTCCGGCGCTGGTTTGTCATTGGCAGGCCGAAGGGAGCTCAGGTCCTCCTCCGTCGCAGGAGTTTCTGTCCCGAGGTCCGGTGAGCCTGTGTAAATCTGCGTCTCCGCTTCCATTAGCGCGTCCACCGGCTCCCCTAGCGCTACGGGTTCCTCGTCACCCTGTCCATGCCCGGCGGGGTGGTTGGCGCCTATGGGCTGAGATTCTCCGCCGAACCGTGGATCAGTACATTCCCATTTGTACAAGTGAGCCCGTGGATTAAAACACGGAAGTAGGAATGCACCGCTTCGATACACCTCTTCCGGCATTCCACAGAATGGGTCTTCACTCTCTCCGTCAGCGCCACCGTCGTGTACGGCGTGCCCTAAATGCTGGCTGTTGGCGCGCTGGTGTGGCCCGCTTCGCGTGGAAGCCATGGTTGTTAACCTTACTGTCGGAATCGGGGGTTGGCTTCTCGTTTGCCAAGGGTTGTAAGCCAGGTGTGCTTGACCGCTGATTAGGGTTTTGGGAACAGTGACGGCCTCTTGTCGAGCTGTTTCACCGACCTTCTTCCAAACACCCTAAACTCAACCTCGCTAATGACTACTGTTATGGCCGGTACATTTCGTGCATATATATTTATCGAAATTGCATAAACATAGGCATGGATTACTGTCACACAAGGAGCCCGGAACATTGCCCCATTGTTCACAACGGTTTACTCTGACCTACACAGTGCTATGAAGATGAGGCGCCCATCTGCTTGGGGTACCAGCCGCTCCACTCCAAGAAATCCTCCCTAATGTCCTCCCTCCATTCTGTTGGATCACCCCACAGTGTGATCGACGATGTGTTTGCAAAAGCGGTCTCCACCATCACCTGCATATATTTCATCACGTACACACCACAGTCGTTCCCGTTCGACTGTTTTGTGACCTGGGACACAGAGTACATCACACAGATACAGAGAAATCACACAGTACAGACGCAGTCAGAGATGGGCCGCGATGTCTTGTTCTGGCGCATGTGCTCAAGTGTTAAGCGTTCCATACCTCCATGGTGACGAGCTCCACCGAATTCTCCCATAATTGCGCCTCCGCAGACAAGCTCTCCGCCCGCGCTGTTCCCTGTGTCTTCCTTGGCTTTGTCCCTGACGCGCCTGGTTGGCAGTTTTACCACCCCACCTCGCGCCGTGTCTTCCCCTCTCAGGACGTCACGTTCGACGAGTCGGTTCCCTTTTACCGTCTCTTCCCCTACCGCACTGCCCCTCTCCCCTCCCCGCCGCTCTTCCTCGCTCCAGGTGCTCCCCAGGTAGACCCCCTCCCCACTCCCGGTCCTGCTCCTTCAGGTGTGTCTCAGGTAGACCCTCCTCCCTTGACTGCGCCGGTTGAGGTCACTGGTGACTCGGGTCCTGCTGAGGGTGGTCCTGCTCGGGGTGCTGCTTCTGGGGGTGCTGAGCCTGGGGGTGCGGAGCCTGGGGGTGCTGAGCCTGGGGGTGCGGAGCCTGGGGGTGCTGAGCCTGGAGGTGCGGAGCCTGGGGGTGTGGAGTCTGGAGCTGCTGAGGGTGCTGGAGCTGGGGGTTCTGGAGCTGCTGCGGGTGCTAGCGCTGGAGGTTCTGGAGCTGCTGCGGGTGCTGGCGCTGGAGGTTCTGGAGCTGCTGCGGGTGCTGGCGCTGGAGGTTCTGGAGCTGCTGCGGGTGCTGGCGCTGAAGGTTCTGGAGCTGCTGCGGGTGCTGGCGCTGAGGGTTCTGAGTCTGCTGTTGCGTGGTCTCCCTGGAGTAGCCGCCTTCGTCCGCGTGTGCCTCTCACCTCACAGCAGCTGCACGACTGGTACGGTCGCCGTCAGGGTCGCGCTTCTGGAGCTCGGGGCTCTGCCGCTGGAGGTTTTTCTGCTGTCGTCACTGAAGCTGGGAGTGGTGCTAGTCCCGGAGGTGCTCGTACTGGAGGTACTGGAGCTGCTGGGGCTGGAGGTGCTGCTGAGCCTGAGGGTGCTGCTGCTGGAGACCCTGGGTCTGGGGGTGCTGCTGCTGGAGACACTGAGGCTGGAGACCCTAGGACTGGAGGTGCTGGTTCTGGGGGTGCTGCTGCTGGTGGAGCTGGTCCTGGAGGAGCTGGCGCTGAGGGTTCTGGAGCTGCTAGAGGTGCTGGAGCTGCTGGGGGTGCTGAAGCTGCTGGTGCTGGTGGCACTGCACAGCCGCGCCTGTTCTTCGCTCCACCGTCTCCGTCGTCTCAGCCACCGCCTGACTCTGTGCTTCGCCAGGTTCTTAGTCTCCCTTCGTCTACTGGTCTTCCGATACAGCCTAGCTCACCGCTGCCTGCTCCTTCTCCTTACACTGAGCAGACAGGGGGTTTTACTGAGTGTCGTGAGCCTGCGTCGCGTCCTGTCTCGCCTGTCCGTTCTAGTAGTTCCGGTCGTCGTGTTCCTCGTTCCCGTCAGCCGACTGTCCCCAGCACCCACCTCGTAGTTCGTCGTCTTTCCTCTCCTCCGCAGCGTGTCCCCCTGCCGTCCCCTCCTGCGTCTTCTCTGCCTACCGTTCCTGAGCCTGAGTCTGACCGCGGACAAAGGCACGAGCACCCCAGACCCGGAAACGCGACGCATCGCCAACCTTCCCCGTCCACAGCAGTGTGGGCGAGGTCTCCGGCAAGGAGACACGGGGCCAGAGGTTGAGCTGATGCGCGGCGTACCGGACCGCAAACGGCCACAGAAAATGGGGGGCAGCCGCATGGATCATGGAGGTACGAGTGACCTCCATGACTAAGCCAATGCGGCGCTCAGCAACCCCATTCTGCTGCGGAGAGGCCGGAAGCGTGAACGACTGGGTGATGCCGTGCTCCTCACAGAAGGCTGCCAAGAGGTCGGAGGAGAACTCACCACCTCTGTCAGAGTGCAGACGCAGGACGGGAAACTCCCCCGAACCGCTCGCGGAGCTGGAGACGAGCAGCGCGGATCCAGGGGATCAAAACATCAGGGACCTCACCCTTGGTGCGCAAGGGGAAGACCGTGGTGTAACGCGTGTAGTCGTCGACGACCAGCAGGAAGTACCGCTCGTGGCCCTGTCCACGGACGCGGGCTGGGCCCCACACGTCCAGGTGGAGAGTCTGCAGGGGAGCCTCTGTGGGAGGGAACGAGGAGGAGTGAGGAGCGGCGCGCTGCCGCCCCTCGACACAGGGAAGACAGGGAGGAGCAGGCGAGGGTGGGAGGGGAGGGAGAACCCTGGGAAGACCAGAGGCAAGGACACGGCGGTGCATGCTGCGAAGGCGCTGCACCGAGGGGTGACCAAGGCGGTGGTGCCAAAGGAGGGTCTGGTGCGACAAGGCGCGACACGAGCAGGGGGCCGACAACTGACCTGACGCAGACGCAGAAGCAGCTACCTGAGGTGAATCAGTGGTCAGTGTGTACAGGCCCGACCCCGGCTACCGAGTGAAGGTAGCCAGGTGACGACTCGTCTGAGCACACGTGCAGTGTGTCACACGCTCGTAGGCAGGGGTGAACTGGTGAACACCCGCGTCCTGGAGCGCAGAACCCGCCACCAAGTTCGTAGAGAACGAGGGGAGGTGAAGACCCGACAGTGTGCCGGACGGGACAGCAGGACAAGGGAGGACAGTGGAAGAGGTCGCACGGACTGGACCCCCAGAGGGGTCTGCCAGAGAGACTGGAACCGGCCGACTGAGCGGCGTAAGGGTGGTGCTGTCGCGAAAGAAGGAGCGAGAAGCACCAGAGTCAAGTGTGAAGGTGTACAAGGCCTGAGCAGGCGCAGTACCAGAGAGAGCAGACTCACCAGCACCTGGAGCAGCTGTCTCACCCGTACCTAGAGCAGGAGACACACTAGCCCCTAGAGCAGCAGCCTCACCAGCACCTAGAGCAGCAGGCTCTATACCTGGGTCAGGCGGTACGCACAGGTAACAGGCACGGTCAGCACTAGTAGGCAATGCATACATGGCAGTGAGAATAGCATCTTAGTCAAGAGCAAAGATATCTACCCTCTGCCCAAGCAGCTCCACCCAGTCGGGGAGCTCAGCCTCGTCACCAAACTCGGTACGCCAGGCGTCGCTCAGACGGGCGAAGCAGCGGGACTCTGTGTGACTGAGCGTCCCGCAAGCCTGACCAGTCCGAGCACCAGTGCGAATGACGTACGGGCAGCGAACGGTACTGAGAAACCCTCTACTCTGAGCGTACCACTCGTGAAGCTCCTGGGACGTGAGTGTCTCGCGTGGACGCCGCTGCAGCTGCAGCTGGCCACTGCCAGACTCTCCCAACTGACCAGCTCCAGGGCGACAGCTACGACGGCTACCGCGACAACCCCAACTAGCGTACCACTCACTAAGCTGCTGGGGCGTGCGAGACTCGCGCGGACGTCGCTGGAGCTGCATCTGGCCACCGCCAGTAGCAGCAGTAGCAGTAGTAGCAGCAGTAGCAGCAGTAACAGCAGTAGCAGCAGTAGCAGCGCGGCCACCCCTACAACCCCAACTAGCGTACCACTCACTAAGCTGCTGGGGCGTGAGGGACTCACGTGGACGTCGCTGGAGCTGCATCTAGCCACCGTCAGTAGCAGCAGTAGCAGTAGCAGTAGCAATAGCAGTAGTAGCAGCAGCAGCGCTTGCAGGGCAGGCGCGGCAGGCAGGCAGGCAGGCAGGCCGGCAGGCAGGCAGGCAGGCGGCAGCGCACGAACAAGGTAGGTGCTCACCAGTGGCGGGAAGGGCAGGCGCACGACGGCGGCGACGGCGGGGCCGCTACAGCTGCGGCAGAGCAGGGCCGCGTCGGCGGTAGGGCAGGTCCGCGACATCTGCTGCAGGGCAGGGCCGCGACCGCGACAGGAGGCTCCGTGACAGCTGCTGCAGGGCAGGGCCGCGACGGCGGCAGAAGGCTCCGCGGCAGCTTCTGCTGGGCACGGCCGCGACTGTGGCAGGGCGCTCCGTGGCAGCTGCTGCAGGAGCGACGGTGGCAGCTGCTGCAGGGCGGCGTCCAGGGGCAGCCGCGGCGCGCGAGGCTGCAGCGCGCTGCGCGCGCTGCGGGCGCGGCGCGCGGGGCTGCAGCGCGACGCGCGGGCAGCGAACGCGGCGCGCGGGGCTGCAGCGCGACGCGCGGGCAGCGAACGCGACGCGCGGGGCTGCAGCGCGACGCGCGGGCAGCGGGCGCGACGCGCAGGGCTGCAGCGCGACGCGCGGGCAGCGGACGCGACGCGCGGGGCAGCAGCGCGACGCGCGGGCAGCGAGCGCGACGCGCGGGGCGGCGACCTGGCCTGACGGGCCTGCAGGGGCGGCTCGCGGGCCTGACGGGCCTGCAGAGGCGGCTAGCGGGCCTGACGGGCCTGCAGGGACGGCTGGCGGGCCTGACGGGCCTGCAGGGGCCTGCAGGGACGGCTGGCGGGCCTGACGGGCCTGCAGGGGCGGCGCTCTGGCCTGACGGGCCTGTAAGGGCGGCGCTCTGGCCTGACGGGCCTGCAGGGGCGGCTCGCGGGCCTAACGGGCCTGCAGGGGCGGTTAACGGGCCTGACGGGCCTGCAGGGGCGGCGCACGGGCCTTACGAGGCTGTAGGGGCGGCGTGCGGGCCGTACGGGCCTGCAGGGGCGGCGCGCTGGCCCGGGGCAGCAGTAGGCAGCGCGAGGGCTGCAGGACGGCGCGCGCAGCGCAGCACGTCACAAGGCAAGGCAGGCGCAGGACAATGCGTGGGGTAGCGTGGTAACCGCAACGGTAGGTGGGCCCGAAAAAAAAAAAACGGTCCTACGGACCTAGTGCTCTGAAACCATGTTAGAATCTAGCAGCAGGAATGAATGAACTATGGAAGAGTTGGGTACAAATATGAAACCCTAAAGTGGGTTGTACCCCATATTGGCTACCCCACTACAGCCTAAACATGTATAGTAGATATAACGTTTGACAGCTTTCTCAAGGCCCGGTCCCTCCTATCACTGGCCCTCTCAGCCCAGCCGGGAAATGCAGCAGCGCTGGGGAATGCAGCAGAGGTGGAGGAGGCGCTGGGGAATGCAGCAGCAGCGCCTACTGTGCCTCCTGTACACAGAAGGCAGCTTGTGTACAGTTGAATCCGAGCGTTGTTCTGTTGAATATATGTGTGAAATTACGTGTTAGGTTGCTCTGGGAGATGAGTTGTGTGTGCTGATTGTTTGACTGCTCTTTGAGCTTTGCAAAATTGAAGTGAATCCGTGTAATTGAGCAAGGACCAACCAAACAGAAGAATGAATAAGAGCAGGAACTCAGAGGAAGACTTATTATTGAAGACTTTGGGATCGCTTCTAACGGATCCACCGGTTTGTGCGGCAACCCACACCCCCTCAATATTATGCGAAATCGCAAAACCAATAATCGCCACGGTAAGTCAAAACCGCGTCTCACCGCACTAAAACAACGTCTCACCGCACCAAGACCTCCAATCTCGCGACTGTGACTCTTCCCCACCCCACACGCCCAACATCATTTGCCAAGCCTTAGCCGCACAAAATATCACCCGTAGCCTTCCGCATTCGGCGGCGGCAGCAGCGCTGCGCAGAATAATTATTCTGTGGCATGTGACGTGTTTTTCCCCTCAGCCAATGGTGCCCACGTTCTTCGCACGTATAAAGTATGTCACTATGCTGGAGCCAATCTTACTTCGCTGTGACAGCATTGTTAGCAGTACTACTAGCGCGCTACTCGAACAGCCGCCACCATCCAGCCACGTATTTCTGGAGCCTTCAGTTTATATCGTATCGCCATGGCTCGCTCCATTCTCTCCGTCGCGCTCTTCCTCGCTGCAGTTCTGGCTCTCTCCTGCGTCTCGTGCGCGCAAGGCGTCAGAGTTATTGCAGATGATGCGAACAAACTCCTGGCTGGAATGCGCAAGGCAGATGACGGTACGATGACCGATTTTATTCGTAGTATTTCTACGCACGGTTCCAGAGAACGCATGAATAACCAGAGCGCCCCGCTCGCGTTCCTGTTCTTGGTGTATCCGACAATTGCGAGGGACGCTTCTCTGAAAAAATCTGAGCCTTTTTCATGCGGAATATTTCAGGTCGAATCATGGGCGTTCAGATCCCACACCTGCCCGTTGCCTCCTGCGGTGCCTCCCCGTGAGCAGGCACTCCATGCAGTCTGGTGTTCAAGCGGAAAGTGGACGACTGCTACTCGCTCTCCCTCGTGAGGACGCGGAAGAGCATGGACAAGTGCAAGGAAGACCTGCAGGCGCAGATTGCGCAGTGCGGAGGCAAGCCAGTACGGGTAAGCATGGACGGCTCAGAATTTACCCTAAGGCACTTTTGAGCCGCCTTGGGAATAGAGCATAGTGCAAGGAAGAACTGCTGGCGCAGATTGAGCGGTGCGGAAGCAAGCCAGTACGGGTAAGACACTTTTGAGCCGCCTTACTAGCATTGATGGAGCAGTGCATGAGGCCAGCGGCGACGGGTAAGTCACGTGCGTGATGTGGCGTCACATGCCGTGCCATCTGGCTTACCACTCACAAATGCCTATTCCATTTGTTTTTTCAGTGCGCATCATCTTTCCATAATTACCCGCCACAGGCCAGGTGTCCCTTCCAGTGCATGAGAAACCATCTCACCCTGTATGCACATTCTGTTATACTGCCCTTTCTCCTTCCCTTGTCCTTGTTTTTGCAGACCGAGTATCCTCTGGCAGGAGCACGCAAGCCTAGTAAGTCAGCAAGGCAAAGCGCCAAAAAGTGATTTCTACTAGTGGGCATGGGGGGGAAAGAATATCGTTATGGGGTATGCTTCGGTGGTGTTTTCTTTTGGGTGTTCGTAGTGAATCTGTGCAAAAGGGTGGCTTGTTGCTATTGGGAACGCATTGGGAATGTATGTTCAAATAGAAGTTTGATTTCTGTACAGGATATAAGTGACGAGTGCCCATTTTCGATTCAAACATCAAGAAGCACCAAACGTACTTTCTCGTTCATTCTTGCGAGTGATGAACAATCTCTTACTGGAATTGTGGCAGCTCGCTTGTTCTTCCAATTCCACCGCCATCTGCGGTAGCCAATGAAGCTCCTGAGTACGCGGTAAGGAAGAAAGATGGAAAGTCGAGCTGGCTTCGTGGGTCGCAGGACAAAACATTCTACACCTGTGAGGATTGAAATTGAGCCGTAGATCCTCCATCTCCCCTCTCAACGCATCACAATTCTTCAGCAGCCCAACGCAGAGTCAACGCGTCACAGGTTCTAACACGGGGCAGCTTGCGCATTATTGCACTTGCATTATCACCGAAATTGCATAATTCACATTCAGCAGCCCAACCAGAGTCATTTCGTGAGTACTCTTGCGCGTTTCACGGCTGTAGGCAGAAACGGACGCCCCTCGATGTCGCGCTCTCGGTATTCTTCGTCCACGCAAACGGGCTCATCCCGTCAATAAAATTCTGCCGCAAAACGGGCACTAACCATCAGACTCAATTCATATTTCCATTCTTAGCTCTCTCAATCCCTCCCAGCCAGTCCATCACGCAGAACGCCATGGCTCGCCCCATTCTCTCCGTCGCCCTCGCAATCTTCCTCGCTGCAATCCTGGCGCTGTCTTTCGCTCAAGGTACGGCGTCTCGTAGTGCCATCGCCGAACTTAATTCCTGGCGCCGCGCTTATGCATCGCGCCCTCACCCCGTGTTGCATAAAAATACCCGTCTTGGCACTTGCTTTCAGGAAAGTGAACCTCTCTGCCTGACTCCTGACTCCTTCCTCCATGCATCGACCAAGCCATCTACTAACTCGTCTCATGTCTCTTCCACGCATCCCATGTCAAACTGCCCAGGCCTCCTCTGCTTAACATTCTCTCTGACCCTCACACTTCTCACTCCTCTTTTCCTGCCCCTACCAGCAACGAGCGCCGAGGTGGCAGGCGTCGTCACAGCAGAGAACGCGGCGAGTACCGCCCTGCTCAACGAAGTGCCGCGCGAGGCGCAGCGCCATCGCAAGCTCATTGAGTCATTCGCCGATGGTAAGATGATGGGAGCCGGTCTAGACCGAACGAGCATAGGTTCTCTGCCGGTCCTCCCTGTGCATTATAACCGGCTTTCCAGCGTGCTCTTTTCTTTTCTCCAAATGTCCGTGCCGTGGCATGGGATGATTGCGAGGCAGCGGCCTTTTCACTTTCCAGCAGCAGAGACATTTCCCGCCTTGCTGTCGCGTTTCGTCCGCGCCAAGGCTGAGAGCATTCCTTACCCAAGCTCCTCAAATCTCCTATCTTTCCTTCTGCCCGCACTGGGTGGTCCCCCTTTGTTGTAGAGGCGTCTCCTCTACTTTGCAGGAACTCTAATTTGCACTAAACGATAGAGCACAGTCTTGGCTTTCCAACAAGCCGTCAAACACGTTAATCGCCCAAGTATACGCCGAGATATTGGCGTTCACGTGATTGCTAGTGCTCTTAGAAGCAAGGATAGACCTCTCTGGAATTTTGGTTCGAATGGACCATGTACAAGAAGATTCAGGATTTCAGTATAAAGCATGCATACAAGGCAGGTCGATTTATAGCAAATGCATTACATCGAACCGCACATGTAACATCACATCGCTACACTCGCGTCGCGAATGCGCCGCGTGTAACATTTCGGTTGGGGTGAAATTCGACCACCGAATTTCACACCGAACACACCGAATTCGCCTTGCACTTGAAGGTTGGAATGTGGTGCCGCCACGTGGCACCGAAGGGTGAGTCTCCCGAAGTCAATCGGTGCCACCCCACCGATCCCTAGTCAAAGGGATCGAAGGCACCGAAGTGCCCTCGGTGGGTTGGGGGCATACCACCGCCCCACCACCGTTTCCTTCCAACACTCCCCCTTACACCCAAGCCACTAGGTGTTCATACCAACACGCTCACGGCATGCACGGAATGAATCCTTAGGGAGTGGTTTAGTGAGGAAATCCGCGGGTTGCGCCTTGGTGCTTATGTATGTGACCTTGACCTCACCTCTCTCGACCACCTCACGAATGAAGTGATGCTTCACCTCAATGTGCTTGGTACGCCCGTGAAGGACGGCATTGTGAGTGAGGTTTATGGCCGCTTGGTTGTCACAAAAGAGAGGAGTTGGGTCGGCTTGAGGATGCCCAAGCTCCGCTAGAAGGCGCCGTAGCCATATTGCCTCCATGGCTCCTTGAGTGAGTGCCATATACTCCGCTTCCGTTGTGCTTAGAGCCACGGTTGGTTGCAACTTGCTTTGCCAACTCACGGCTCCCCCAAGCAAGGTGAAGACGTACCCGCCGGTACTCTTGCGCTTGCTTTGATCACCGGCATAATCCGAGTCGGTGTAGCCCTTAAGCACGATTGGACCGGCTTCATATACGATTCCCAAGTTGGGTGTGCCTTGGAGGTAGCGTAGAACACGTCCTCCCGCACGCACATGCTCGGTATGAGGGTTGCTTACGGCTCGTCCAAGTACCCCGGCGGCGTATGAGAGGTCGGGACGGGTGGAAACGGCGGCATACATGAGTGAGCCGACTAGCGAATGAAACCGCTTCCCTTCGGCTTCGTCGAGGGCGGATTCTTCCTCTCCCGGGAGGCAAGAAAATCCCGTGTCTAGTGGCGTCCCCACCGGGTTGCGATTACCCATGCCGAAGCGCTCCACAACCCCTTTCACATATTTTTCTTGGTGGAGGTGAATGGTCCCGTTCGCGCGGTCGCGGTCGACGTGCATCCCGAGGTAGTACGTCACCGGTCCCAAGTCCCTCATGGCAAACTCCGCCCCTAGCCGTTGCTTGACCTCTCGAATGAGGTCTTTGGAGTCGGAGAAAAGAAGGAGGTCATCGACGTAGAGCAAAAGCACCAATTGCTTCTCCCCCTCCTTCAACACGTACAAAGCGCTATCACACACGCTACGCGCGAAGCCGTGTTGAAGAAGAAAGTCGTCGATGCGCTTGTACCATCCGCGTGGGCTTTGCTTCAAGCCATAGAGGGTACGCTTGAGCTTCCACACCCGACCGCTACCGTCATCGTACCCCGGGGGTTGCCGCATGTAGACTTCTTCCATGAGAAGCCCGTAGAGGAAGGCGGTGCAAACGTCCAATTGTTCCACCTCGAGGTTGAGAGATGCCGCTAGCGCGAGCAACACCCGAAGAGTGGAGGCCTTCGAAACGGGAGCGAAGGTCTCACTATAGTGCTCCCCCTCCCGTTGAGTGTACCCTTGCGCCACAAACCGCGCCTTGTAGCGTTCGACACCTCCATCGGCTCCCAATTTCTTCCTAAGCACCCACTTGCATCCCACCAAGTAGGCACCCTTCGGCGGGTCGACGAGCTCGAAAACATCGTTCTCCTTGATCGATGCTAACTCCCTCTCCATCGCTTGCTTCCATAGCGGTGCATCCGGGGAAGCCAAAGCCTCCTTGTGAGTGCGTGGGTTATCGTCGCCGATGGTCGCTAGGCAAATCGCCGCACTCTCCTCATCCGACTCCCCAACGGCGACCGTAGCATAGTCGGTTAACCTCGTGTTGGGGCGAGGTGTACGACGCCCGCGAGTCAACGCCAATGGTAGGGAAGAAGGTGCGGAGGAAGTGGCCTCCTCGGTTGGTGGCACCTCCTCGACATCATCATCGCACTCCTCGTTCTCTCCCCCTCCACTTTCGGCTCCCTTCTTCACGTGCGGTGAAACCTCCACCGCTTCATCCTCCTCTCGTGCGGGAAGGACGACGGTGAGTTGCGGCGTTTGTTTCTCCTTTGTCGGGAACTTGTCTTCGTCGAAGATCACATCCCGAGACGTGACGACGCGTTTTTCATCCAAATCCCACACTCGCCATGCACGCTCGTTCGCCGCAATCCCCAAGTAGATCGCCGCACGAGCTTTCGGTTGCAACTTGTGGCGAAGTGGATCCGGTACATGGTAGTAGCAAAGGCACCCAAAGGTGCGTAGGCGGTATAGGTTCGGCTTCGTTCCGGTCCATGCTTCGAACGGAGTCGTTCCCGGTAGCACCTTTGTTGGCACACGATTACGAATCCATGCCGCTAGCGCACTCGCCTCTCCCCACCACTCGTTCCCAAGCTTGGAGTGTTGAAGAAGTGAACGAACGGCCTCCATCAATGTGCGATTGAGCCGCTCTACCGCTCCATTTTGTTGGGGTGTGTAGGGTGTCGTGACGTCGTGCTTAATGCCCTTGATTTTCATCCATTTTTCAAGCTCGTTGCTCACGAATTCGCCGCCACCGTCGGTGCGAATGCACTTGATCCGCTTCTTGCCGTCGTCGCAAACGTCGAGCGCCCACTCTTGAATCGCCTTGGCCGCATCTCCCTTAGCCTTCAAGAGTCGGGTCCAACTCATCCGCGTCGCGTCGTCGAGCATCACTAAGAGGAACCGCGCTCCTCCCTTTGATGCATGCCGCATCGGTCCACACACGTCCATGTGAACAAGCGCAAGCGGGTCCTTTGCGAGGGGTGAGGTACGGCTACCAAATGGCTTGCGAGCCATTTTTCCTTCGACACACGCCGCGCACACGCCCTTCTCGTCGTTGCCGGCGATCACGTCAAATCCCTTCGCAAGTCCTTTGTTGGCCAACTCTTTGACCGAGTCGTAGTTGGCGTGCGCAAGCCGATTATGCCACATTTTGAGAGTCGCCTTGGAGCCTTGCGCCACGTTGGATGAGGCCGTTGTCGGATGCGTCTTGAGTTGGTAGAGTTGTCCGTTGAGAACGCCTTGCGCGAATTGCTTCCCCTTCCAAAAGAGGTTCATATTCGCGCCATCGATGGTGACCTTC